TGATTTATCAGAAAATTTCCATCTCACAGACAAGCATCGAACCTAATGCCCTATTGAGTCCAACTGAGAGCTTACTGAATTACCTTATTCACGGAATTCATGCCAAAGATTGAGGAATCGTTAGAGGTCATGGAATGCTTCCTTATCATAAACACCATCACCCTCAGCTGATGTTAGACGTTCAAAAATTAGTGGGTAGGTTCTGCAGGCAGTCGCTCCTCAAGAGGGCCCCCATGCGATGCGCATTTACAAGGTCCAAAATTCCACTCTTGATTGCTTGAACGAACTTCAAGCTGTCACGAAGAGCATCTTTCCTACGACCTATATACCTTTTTTGAGCTTCTTCTGTAATTTGAGAGCCAAGATAAAGTAAAAAAAAGTTGTTGTCGAAAAGTCACTTTTGTGTCGACCCGACACCCAAACAATCATACAATTTGTAGAGCAGACATTTATTAGGGGAAGCATAAAGTTCGTGCGTTTTTAAATTGTCACCTTTATAAGTATATTCAATCTGAATTGTTTGACACATAAAAGAGGCGCCAAATTTATGCCCGACAAGACTTCAAAAAGATTCAAAAGAATCGCAAAATTTCACAAAAAGTTTTATGTTGTTACTACTCTTTCTTCTCTTGACATAGTTTCGGTGCCTAGCACTCTTCAGGACCGGTGGGAATACTACAGATTAGCCACCTCCACAGAATTCCTAGACCTTGCCTTCAGTGGTGCCTCCTTCTGGACTCTGACCTGGTCTGCTGCCTCCAGTATCCGCCAGTATGCCGACGCTGCTCCTTGCGAATGCCGCGCCTTCTAGTGGTAACTGTTGACCCCGTTACCCTGCTTAAATAGTGAGGATGCCTAGTGAGTGCTTCTGCATATGATATCACTGACCGCTCCACCATTATCATTACCGTAGTCAGTGAATCAACTGCAGCGCGTCACGTAGCTCATCCTTGCTATTCATTTCTGGGGATAGTCTTCTTATTTCCAGTGCTTCTAATAACTTTCTTTCCAACGGATTTTCTATGGAGCGGTGTAATACTGTAATGGTAAGTGCGGGAGGACTTTCGTGTGCATGCATTTTGGTGCGGTGCGCTACAGTGAGGGACATGTTGTCCGGCTTCGGGAAGACTGAGTTGTCATAACGCGGCCCTGCGCGCAGTGTTCATCATCAGTCCGTTCATATTCGCTTAATTTGAAGTGGCCTCTTTCGTGGCCTTCGTCCCCACCTTCAGGAAAGTCGGTTTGCGGTAGCCCAGACAGAATCCCATTGAGCAAATCTTCTATCAAAATAAACACCAGCCCACCTCTTAAGTTGACACTATATTCCCGTCATTACAAGTTATGCGCAGCCTCTCTGTCCACATTCATCGTTCATAAGACCTGGACGTACGTGAACGCAGCATTTTACGAGATTTTGGTGAGCGGACGGAACTATAAGACGGTATGGGGCAGTGCGCGGAGCCTTTAAACTATGGTGTTTAACTTTTTACGCCGTACTTTCGTTGGAGATATGCATTCAAGGCGGAATCCATGCCGGCGTGTCGAGTACCGTCTCCACGCGTCCCGGTGTGTTAACACGGTGTACTGATGTATCCTTATCCCGACAGAATCGGTCACCTTGTATCTACTTGTTGCGATCTCTGTACATCTATCACTTCTCTTTGTCTTAATAACATGCGAACTACGTTCGCTTTCATATATGACGGGTGGCAACTTCTGGAGTGTAGTAATACATTTTTCGACGCCGGTTTCTTATACCAATACAGCTGTTTGGTTCCGTGTTCTATCCTGACTTTAGTATTCAGGAATGGGACATATCCCTCCTCCAATCTTATGTGTTTCTCCACAGTAAACTTGATGTTTGAGGTACTGTGAGTTTGAGGGTTGTTTGACACGAAGCGTCCCTTCCAGTTCTGATGAGAGGAACAATGACGAAAACGTCATCAACTGTACCTGACCAGCAAAGCGAACGGAACAAGGCGTTTTCAAAGCTGATGGCTAAAGACAGAGTATGCTCCGTTATAGCATAGGGGATAAAAGCGGGGACTTTGTAGTAATGACCCAGGACATGGATAAAGCAGTGTCGCGTCGCAGCCTGGAGGACCGCAACACTTATACGGAGTCGTCCTTACAATCATTCACGACCGCTGTTAAACGCCTCGAAACGACGGTTGTTGGTGTCAAAAGTTGCGGATAAAAACAGTGAAGAAGATTTATCCTGTCTTCTCAGATGTTCCTACTTATTATTCACAGGTATAAATAGTTTTAAACGCATAAGTTGTAAGCAGCAGCTATCTGGACCATCTCACCGTCCGCGGACAGGCTAAAGCACCCCGGCCTATAGTTTCTTCCTGCGGTGGACCATCGGATAGAATCAGCTGGCTCCTTGTCAAGTTATTCTCCCCTCTCCTGAGCCATGTATCATCGCATTTAGTCAATACAGGAGACTTCATGGCATCCCTCGACCAATGCCTTATCCCAGCAGAAGCTAGCTATGCTAGCTTCGATGCTGTATCTTTGTATACAAATGTCAACACCTGGGATGCAATTGATGCTGTAATGAACTTATGGAGCCAGCACAGACGGGAAATCTTCGTTTTTAGCCTGGAAGAAGAAGACTGCGTGAATTGTTTACAAGGCAATCTGGGGAGTGTAACATATTCACAGTTATGACGGCTGCTAAGCTTCTACAAAACAACATCGGCGGGGTAGCCATGCGGGACTTACGAATAGGCCCCCACCTTATAGCCATCCTATTCCTTCATAGAAACGCCATGTCCGCTAACGTCAGCGGAATTATTTGTTTACAAAGGTACGTTTTGATGACGTCTTCGTCACTGAGTTCTCAATCATCAGAACTGGAAAGGGAGACGCCTTATCTCAACTCAAACTCACAGGACCCCCAAACATCAAGTTTACTGTGGAGAACCCAGATGAGGAGGGATATGTCCCATTCCTGAATACTAAAGTCAGGATAGAACACGGAACCAAACAGCTGTATTGGTATAAGAAACCGGCGTCGAAAAATGTATTACTACACTCCGAGAAGCATCACCCCGTTATAGTATGAAAGTGAAACGTACCGTTCGCAATTTTGATTAAAGAACAAAAGAGAAGGATGATGTACAGCCGCGGTCCACGCAACAAGCTCACCGATACTTCAATTGGCTGGGCACCGAATTGCTCGGGGGATAATGGATACATCCAGTACATCGTAGATTAACACATGGGACGTACTCGAACACCGGCATGGGATCTCCCTTAAGAATAAAATAGCCAATATCTACAACGAGAAGTACGGCCCGCTAAAATTTAACACCATAGTTAAAAAAAAAAAAAAAGGGGGGGGGGGGGGAGCTCGCACTCCCTACGATCTTAATATCTTCCAGTCCGCCACAATATCTTAAAAGGACTCTGCTCACGTACTCCAGTCTTATGAAGATGAATGTGGCGAGTACTGGCGCATACTGTAATGAGCGCGGAAAACGGTATGTCAACTGTAGGGTGGCGGTGTATTCTGCCACTAAATGCGTATGCGGGCCAGAAGTACATTGGAGAGACACAAGAGGCCACTTTACAAACGGCATAGAAAAAAAAAAAAAAAGAAAAAAAAACTGACACCGCAAGAGAACACACATATTACATCCAAGCATATAAATACCATATAAAAAAAACACAGGACACAGAATCAAATACGAAATCACCACGACACAACGACAACAAAAATGCAGGCCACAAACGAAAAACGAATAGTCCTCCCGCACTTACCATTACAGTATTACACCGCTCCATAGAAAATCCGTTGGAAAGAAAGTTATTAGAAGCACTGGAAATAAGAAGACTATCCCCAGAAATGAATAGCAAGGATGAGCCTTCACGTGACGCGCGTGCAGCCTTGATTCGACTGACTACGTCATATGATAATGGTGGAGCGGGTTCCACAGTGAGCTATGTAGCAGAAGCCGCCTTCACTAAGCACTCCTCAGCTATTTAAGCAGGGTAAACGGGTAGGGTTCACAGTTACCACTGCACGGGCGCCGGCATTCGCAAGGCAGCAGCGTGGCGATGACCTGGCGGATACTGGACGGCAGCGACCAGGTCAGAGTCCAAAGACGGCCACCACTGAAGGCCAAGTCAGGATCCGGGCGCATCGGATGTGGCTAATGTAGTATTTCAGGGTTTCGCCCTGGTAAAGAGGTGCTAGGCAGCCGATAATATCAAAGAGAAAGAGTATAAACAATATAAAAAATTTTTGTGAAAACTTTTGGATTCTTTTGAATCTTTTGAGTCTTTCGCAATAAATTTTTGGCGCCTCTTTTATGTGTTCAACATTCAGATTGCAATGAGGCTCCGGGACAGCACTATTTTGAGACAGTGATATTCAGTAAATTGGATTTAGTGTTAGGGTAACTTTGTGACTATGAATGTTAGACATAGGCAGTCAAGGAGTGTCATTCAGTGTATTTGTTAATTTAGATTACTTTCAATTCAAGGCGAACAGAAAAGGTGTGGTTTTCCACCAGGAACAATGCAAGACCACACAGGAAATTCTACCTCACCCTCCGTACTCGCCAGACCTTGCTCCAAGTGACTATCATCTGTTTTTGGCCTTGGACAACCACATGAGGAATCGGCGATTTGAAAATGAAGTGGCTTTGGACAACGAACTAAAACATTTCTTTAATTCCCAAAGCAAGATTTTTACAAAAATGGAATATATGCTCTTGTGTCTACTGTCTACTTGCTGAGGGTAGTTATTTTTCGGAAGCTACCTTCAAAACCGCACGAACTTTCTGGTTGCCTGATAATTACGAAATAGCACTTCTTCACTTCTCATATGGAAATTTCTGTGAGGAAAAACGCCATTACTTATGGGCCAACCCAATAATTTTTACAGCTATTCGATGATGTGGACGCCCGCGAACTTAACCTGCGCCATCTTCGGTCACAGATCTCTTTGGTTGGCCAAGAGCCTATACTCTTCAACTACTCCATCAGGTATGAATCCATCTCACCCATATTTTCCTCATATGTGAATTCCAGGGAGAATATTGCGTACGGGTTCGAGAGAGCAACTCTGGATCAAATTGAAGAAGCGGCTAAGTTAGCTAACGCCCACAATTTCATCGTAAAATTGCCCTCGGTACGTGAAATGTTAGCCAGATAAGGGAATTAATGACCCCTGAGAGACCTCCAGGACCTGAAAATTTCTACAAACTCACCCGCGGGGCCGCAAAAAACACTCTCTAGTGATTTGGGTGCAGAAACATTCGGAATGTGTTTCGATTTCTCCCTGAAACATGGTTTGAAGTGTCGCACGGGTTTCGTGAAATCTGAAGACATCAGTCAAAGTCGACCTATTTCTAATCGCCATTGTTACTCATAGAATTCGTCCTATCAATGAACGCGACGACAATTTCAGGGCTACGACACGGTTGTTGGTGAGCGCGGTAGTATGCTCTCGGGTGGGCAGAAACAGCGAATTGCAATCGCTCGAGCTGTGATCCGAGATCCAAAAATTCTTTTGCTAGACGAAGCCACAAGCGCGTTGGACACCGAAAGTGAAAGAGTATGTGCAGGATTGATGCCTGTCTAGAAATCGTCGCTATCATCCACTTGTAGGTCGTACAAGAAGCGCTGGAAAAGGCGAGACAAGGACGAACTTGTGTGATTATTGCTCACCGTCTGTCTTCTATCCAAAATGCGGATCTTATTGTTGTTATCAAAGATGGGATGGTCGAGGTAATTTTTTCTCTTTTGTATGATGGTGGGAACCAAAACGGTTATGTTCGTGTACAGGAGTTCCAACTAGTTCTCCCTATAGGATGAGATGGAGAGGGTGTCGCTCAGGAGGTCCGAGTAACGGCAGTGAGAAGAGTGCGGTGTTTCAAAGAGAATTCGCTTGCCTAACATACACACGTGATTGGTTTGACTTGAAAGGGCTGCGGTAGATAGATTCAATTATCCAGAAAACGCAGTACGTCCCGAGCAGTCCTCGACACACTGCCGCAGCACGGAAGCCGTGGCACAGACCCGACTGATTAAAACCTTCGAAATCCAGGGAACAGTACCAGATGTCCCGCTATCGGAAGGCCGTTCGTATTAGTGAAAGCGGTTCAGCAAAAAAAACGAGGATCGAGAGCTGATAACCCTTTTAGACTATGCCATCGCATCTGGCTTCCATTCAGATATGCAGAGCCTTTCGAATGCATAGCTCCTCCCCAAAAGAGTCCATTATGTTGAGCCTACGCTGAAATAAGTCCTCACGAAAAAGGTTTGAGTGGGTAATTATCTTACATGTAGGTTAGTTGCCTTGGTCGACTTTCGGTTTTTGGGAGCTGCATTCATCTCTACCCGGACTATATCTGTGAACTTCATTAGCGATAGATTTCTGTACTTTTGTGGTGTGTACTACTTTTTGCCAATCCTTCAACGGACCGCTTATGGTTAGCTTCAACCTGTTGGCGTGCACACGGTCCATGGGCCAACATCCTGGAATTAATCCCCCGGCCGACCAAGTCTTCTACCGTCCCGGTCGATTGGTTGGTTGGACATTAGAGCTAGCCACAATAACTGAGGTAAACAGAACGCACGGCGCTTTCCAGGAGGGACTGATAACCGTTAGAGGTTCCACACCCTTTCCTATGAATAAAATCTGTCGAAGCAACCGGAATGTATTATTGGCTATTGTTACCGCTTATTGCCTTAGTGCCTTGCCTTATTTTCAGGAGCAAGGAACACACCAGCAGTTGCTAGCGAGAGAAGGCCTTTACGCAGACCTGGTTAATAAACAAGATCTCAAATAATAGTACGTGTTCAAGTCTTTCCCGCATTGTTGTGAATTATCAATAAATCTTCACTTCGCCCCACAGCGAGCGCTCCACACTGAAAACCGCTTATGATTGCAAGAAATATGCAAATTTTCACGGAGTGTTAAAATTTTATTTTTAGTTGTTATTGCTACAAGGAAATCTGCTTGTAAGGAAGAGCATCGAACAATTTCCTTGGATGCACATGTAGTCCACTCCCATTCTAAGGATTGTCGAGCAGTGCAGGCTCATGTCTGCACCATAAGTTACCAGTTCAATCCCTGCTGATGCTAAACCATGCCTCCACAACAAATTGTAAAATGGGTATCTCAGCTTTCTTATCACTTTTCGACACCCATCAGTTAGGCCCCTCTCTCAGCTGCTCTATCACTTTCTGGAAAGTGGATCCACAAAGTGATAGAGCAGCTGGGAGGGAGCCTTACTGATGGGTCTCGAAAAGTGATAGGGAATGATAAGAGCTGATGAAGAACGTCAAAAAGGAAATCACACAAAGAAACTGATTGTGTGGGCTCAGCAACAGTAGAGAGGTGGTTCTATTGAGCAGTGAATCCGGGTAAAGCGGGATATTGATGGTTGCTGGTAATAAGTGATACATTGACTGATGAACGTCGACTTTGCTTGGTTTCAGAAGTTCAGTGAGTGAACAAGTTTCTTTTCTTCTTCAGCAACTATACGTCAAAACCATTTGATCATTCAATTTTCGTGTTTCAGTAAAAATCGGCTTACCGTCGATGATCCTTTTCGATTAAGAGTGCTAACTTCTGATAACAAGTCAAGGTGCAAAAATTGCTTCACCAGTGCTACTGAGACGTGGAGGCAATTCATTCTTACTAACAGTTGCACTAACATCACGATAGATTGCTAAAGATTTTTAGCCAGTTTCCAGCAATTCTTTACAGTTATTATGTTTTCATTCTACTTATCTAGTAAGCAGTGTATTCACCGGTGGGATCACTGACTCGGTCATTTATCAGAGAATGCTGAGTTTGTCACAGGATGGGTGAAGCCGAAGCATTTGAAGAGGTCCTTCCTAAGATTGTTTTCTTCTCAACAGTCAGACTAGAGCTGATGCGTTTTCGCATGTACATTTGCATTGTTTCTTGAAGAGATGTAGCGAATAGGCGAAATTTGATATTTGCCGGTGAAGAAGTGACGGTTTCTGCTCAAACGTGGCTAGCCGATTCATGCGCGTCCCCTGAGATATCACTTTTCTTCAATCATCAGTCGTACTGTGGTCGTTTGCCATACTGAAGGATGCTCTCGGTTACCGCTTTTGCTCAACAGAGACTACTAAGCTCGGCTATAGGCATCGTACTGAACATAACACATTCGAACGCTCTGGTGAGTGGACTAATTATTTATTTAAATGACGAAAAGAGAGAAGACAGAAAAAAAGACAAGTATCAATACTTCATTCAAAAGGTGTGAGTGCTCAAACAAAAGTACAAAAGTCTCAAAAGATGTTCCAAAAACAAAAGAGTCGCAAGTGGTAACAAAAGCAGCGGCAAAGTTCTGATGTTAAAGCGGCTTGCGCCGGCGCGCCTCCTTCTGATACGGCCCGGCTGCGCCGCGCGTACCTTCTTTCACATATTTCTAGACTCAACTGATATCAGGCTTTTGTTCTGTACTCATGGTTAAAGCTTCTCGACAAATACATCATCCCTGCTATTTTGACTATTACTGAGTATGGAGTGGTACTAAAGTGCGTATGGGCACAGGCGAGAGAATAGCTGGGGAAGGAATGTGTCCCGTGCCCGTCCGGCGAAGGAGCGCTGGCATCAGCCGCCGAGCCGACTGGAATCTAATACCTATGACGACCGGTGGTTAAGAGTATGGCAGAATACGCGCTAAAACTCAGTAAGAATAAGTACGTCGTGCGCTCCGCCCACTGGGAGCGGGTTACAACACACCACAGACACACTCAACTCTTGCCATATATCCAACAGTTGAGGTCCTGCACATCTCTGCTTACATGTTGACGGTGTCTGGACCGCTCTGAAACCGTTTTGCAGATTTTTTGTCTGGCTCCGCCCACCTCGGGCTGGCCCCGTCCACAACATTTATGCCCCACATTTCTCAATGGGCGACCAACTCAATTTGTTCCGGTGTCTGGAGTGCTCTGAAACTATTTTACACAGATTCTTCGTCTGACTCCGCCCACCTCGGAGCAGGCCCCGCCCACAATGTTTGTGCCCCACAACCTTCACCGGCGACCCTCTGCTGACCTTAAGTCCACTTTTTCCCGGTGTCTGAGGTGTTCCGTTTTATGGACCTTGTGTCTGACTCCGCCCGCCTCGGCGCACGCTCCGCCCACAACGGTGTACCTTGCACTTCTAAACGCGGAACCGCTTGGAACCATAATCCACTTTTCCGCTTCCGTCTGTAGTGCTCTAGGACCAAACTACGATTTTTTTTAACTAACTCATCACGTTTGAGGTCACGCGGGTCATAGCACACCTCAGATATGGCGGACCCTCCACAGATGTTTGTCTTCGCCATGGACTTTTTGCAATCTCTAAACTCTCTCGGGGACCGAGTTACCGACATTTGTGGGAAGCACCGCCCATCTCGAGTACGCCCCGCCCATTTCGGGTGTGTCTCCTCCATTTGATGGGTCAACCATTTGCCAACCTTAATCCACTTTTCCCCCATCTCAAGACTGCTCTGAAGCCGTCACGCCCTCACAATGTTCTCTGATCTGCTACTCAGGATGTTAAGCGCATTGCGCCCTACCTTGCTCTATCCTTTCCCAAACTAGGCAGGATTACGCTGCCTTTCAGTTCACCAGCCAAGAGTCCTTTTTTTCATTTTCATTCAGTAACTCCTCTAAAGGTCAGCCTTTCCACTCCGAAAGACTGAGGTTTAAGCTGATGGCAACGATGACGGGTTTAACTATCTGTAGTTGAATTAAAAACAAAATAAACCACGTAAGAAACTGAAAAACTAATAATTACCATATTCTTTCCGATATATAGCAGTCCTCGTTTGACAGACATGTCAGGAGCCTTGATTTCCTTTAAAGCATATAATGAGTACAGTTTTTTCCTAGCGAGCAAGCTAGAATTTACATATTACATAACAAACATTTGGACAGCTAAAGCTAAACTCTACTTTACAAACCCAAGGTTGTTGCTGTCTTGATTTTTCAATGATGTTCCTTGATAATAGCTATTTTGTCCCATGCTCTTTGTTATAATCTGCAAGCTTCCTACGGCCCTCGGCCATAAAATACCTCCAATACATGTATAAAACTTTTGCCATAATTACATAAAGATAAGTCGAAGTCAAGATTCATTAAGTTAATGCATAACATACACGGTAAGCTGGTATGTTACCACTAACGCCGGCGAAAGCAGGCCAAGAGAAAGCATTTTCCGTACTGTCAGAATAGCTAAAAGGAGATATTTTATTTACATAGAAAGAAACAACGACTCGAACGATAAGTATAGCCACCCTGTTATAGTATTAGCCAAGTAAGCAAGGAATCGATCCAATTTATATTTTTTGCCTTATTGTCTATACCTGTTATACGAACCCACTCAATCAAAACTCGCTTACTGATATATTCTTGGAAGATTTCTTTCCTTTTTGAATCGACGGACACCTGAAAATTAGTAATACTAAACTATTACAAAGCAAACAAATCTTATCAACAAAATAAAAACTAATACTGTATTACCTTACTGAATACTCAAATGCTAATCAAGCTATATTATTATTCTTCTATACACTTCAATTTATAAAAACCTTCCACACTTCACTACACAAAAATGCGAACAAAAATCATCTCTACAACAATTTCGTCTACATTCTCTTCATCACCAATTGAACAAGACTCAACTGAAACATCTCTTTAAACATGGGGACCACACCCCTTTAACAATAGGGACTCTTTCGATAGGGTTAGACAAGTGGCATACTTAGCTTGGGGGTAGGTACCACGCCCTCGAAAGGGTCAACAAATTTCAAATCAACCCAATCCTTCACCAATCTAAGATACAATCAGGCTTGCGAGTGCATAGGGCAATCCCCTTAAAACTTCCCTCTAGTATGTGGGTTGGGTTCCCCCACATACTTCTATTACGGTCCAGTACTACCTTCTGTATTAAGCAGTAATATTTATTACCTCACTAAAACATTTATAAAAGTAAGGTAAACAACGTGTATAAGCTAGACAACTTTGGTTACAATAACGAAGCAGAATGTTGTTATACAAATCAAATGTCATGTCATAGAAAAAAAGAAACATAGTATCTACAACAAAACTGAAAATTAACACTTATAGAGACAATAATGCAAACTGCTGCAGTAAATACATTTTGCGAGAAGTTAAAAAGCATTCACAATAAAATATTGGCAAAAAATTAGAGATTCCTCCTTTCCTTACTGATGAGCACGAGAGGAGGAATATTGAAACCTGTTCCGTGCGAAATGGGAACTAAACTATCTCTTTGAAAGCCTCCCCACACAGAAATTATTTTTCAGTACAATATATAGTTTCAACAAAAATCATTTAGAAGTTAACGAATAACACAAGAGAATAAAAATGAGAAATAATAATTAGGATAAGTAATGTAAAAAGCAAGTTAAAAATTGATCAAGTTTAACTAAATAATACAATTTCAAAGTATAAAAGATATATTAAACTATTACTACTTTTTTCATTAAGTTTAGATCGATGTACTAATTTTACTTACCACTGTCATTCAGGGCGTCATGGCAGGAAACACATACGCATACTGAACCTTCCAAGAAGGCACCGAGCGTACCTGATGTGAGAGGTAAATTCAATTTTTGATATTTCAGTGCGGCTGACTGCTCAAGTCTAATGAGGCGGGAATCGCTTGCGGTTCGAATCAACGAAGAGGACCATGTGTGTTGTCACAGCAGGACCTAACGAGCTCCCTCGCCGACACCGCTGCTTCTGCGCCTTCCTTCCTGATAACGTTGTTCAAGTGCGTCAGCTGGCTGGTTGGAACTGGAAATCGCACCAACTCTCCTGCGGCAATTGTCTTCTGGTGAAGACGTTTGCAAATCCTCAAAACTAATTTAAAAAAATACCAAACGAACGTTCATAGGTCTCTCCGCAATGACGTCATCACCTTTCGAGCGTTGTTTGATGCCACCTGCATTGTGTTCTGGAGGAAGGTGAAACGTCACCATGAAATGTCGAATGTTGACTCGATCATTCGTCTGGCATGAAACAGTTTGCCAGTTTTGAGCGAAGATAAATCAGTGGCGTAGCGTTGAATCTTCTTTTACTCGCTATAATTTGTAGTTGTTCCCGAATACGGATACACATAGCGGTACCATGATCCGAAACCACAGTTCGCAAGGATGAGGTATTCTTCAGGCTTCCCTCAAATATATCCGACTGCAGTGTTCTCTCGAAGAAACGCTGCAGTACAATCGGAAGAAGGAGATACTCATTGATACTTGCTAACTTACCTTACTGCTCTGGTCCAAAAACACTTTTGCATTTTTTACATAGTGATACTAAGTCGAAGACTAGGATGCGGTAGTCGCAGTTTACCAGGGCGAGCAGGATGATGGAATTGATTCTCTTATAGGTGATATACAAGTTTCCGGGGAGAGCAGACTGCTGGAAGAAATATTTCTATAGAGGGAAATCTTCTTTGGTGCAATTATCCACATGTTTATGTGCTTCCCATCCATAAGTCCAACAGCGAGCGCTTATCCGTACATTACCTTATCTTGTTTTTTTGCCTCAGCAAACGATGGGAATGCTGCCACGACGCAAGGCCGCTCTGATTTCTTTTTCTTTCAGCCCTAGGAAACAATGGGAATGCTTCCGCGAAAAGAACTAAAGAAGAATAAACGATGGCTATACGTGATAGCCCAAATGATCGTTTCAAAATACGTTACCGCTTTTGCAACCACATAAACAGTCTGACTGACTGTTGACTTCCCACAATGTGCTTCCTCCGCAAGGGGCACGGCATTGGCCCCAAACCTCCATCTTTACACAATGAAGCGTGCAGGTCTAGCGTCTCAACAAGGCACCGCTTCAGATAGATAAACAACCTGTGAATTATAGCGGAAACGCATATGTCTTTCGGAGGAGCAAAGACAGGAGTCAGACGATCTTTTCGACCTCCAAACGAGTGTTCTCCCATAGTTCGTGGAATTGTAACTGTTGCACCCAGTGAGGTACTCCTCCAATGTTCCTCACCGGATCTTAAAGAAAGGACATGTGCCTCGATCGTACATGTTTCAATCGCGTCTCTCTCTCTTTAGGAGCTGGATAAGCGCGCTCCAACTCCGCCAAGCCGTTCAGTTCACAAAGAGTTTCTTTCGCGATCTGTATATGTAATCGAAACTGTGCTGGTAATGCTAATTTCTTTCCATTTGCAGGAATGACGGCAGCAATAAAAAAATGAGAGATATAGGTGAAAGATGTGAAGTGGTGATTGACTAGGGATGCGCAATCCTTCATTATAAGTTTAGCTTCTTTAAAGGCATTTCCTGCGATAGGTGATAGAGTTCAAAAACAGAGGTGCAATGTGGCAGTTGACTTACTACTGAAAAGGGAAACTTGAAAATTTTCTTGGCAATTTCCACGTTTCAGATGCAGAGAGCCTCTGCGATGGTGCAACGAGTCATCTTTCACATTCAAGAAGTTCAGCCTTAATTGTAGCGAATCATGCTTTCGAAATCCTTCAGGTTATAACTGATCATTGCACTCGGTTTGCCCATGTCACGGCTTGACGTTCGGTTTTCCGTGGTTGCTTGCGCGTCGTGATGGCAGTGTCCTCCGATATTGGTGAATGACGCGATATCTGCAACAATGTGGCATAGGCAAGGCGCAAAAAAGCACAGCGCGATACCGACGACCAGAATGGTTACGTGGCAACTACAACGTGCAACGTTTAGTGAGGGGTGGGCATCCTAGCGCGAAGGTCCAGAGCGCAGAGAAACATAAATTTCAGCTGCTAGGACATCAAAAGGTGCAGGGACTGCGTCGCAGCCAGGGAGTGAGCTTTTTTATGGAAGAGGACGTCGGGTGAATAAGCCGGGAAAAGGCTGGCACCATAAAAGTAATTGAGTTCAAGTGCTCGTAGATCGACCACAGCAGGCCAGTGGCCCAAAATTTGTTTTTTTTTTTTGCTTTTTTGCTACGATATTCAGCACTAGCGTCAGCGCGCAGCGGGACCAGTGTAGAGGAAGTGACGACCGTCCTTTAAACAAGGCGGATTTCACGAAACGATCTCTGCGCGAGAGAGTGCAGAGAAAGCGCTTGGTAACTACGCACGCAAAGGGAGGTCTCGCTTCTACATTTCTCACACGTCTGTCGAAGCTATCTTATGTTGTACCCATGCAAAGTGTACTTTTATTATGTTTGTTCAAGAGTACCATAGTAGTGATTTTCTGTGTGTATATTGTTCCTGGATATAATTCTGGTAGGTTAGTGAAAGGGAGCGGATAAGCTCTGACAATATGAGGTTCTGAGCAAACCCATCTGTTGATTCAGGTTGCGTCTCAAACCCCTTCAGGAACAAGTTCACAAGGTTTCTGTCTCGCAACGATCATGTCAGAAAACTCTGACCCTTTCTTCAGTGAAAATTTCTCGACATTGTTTTTGGACTACCATTGAGGCCTAGTATGTATATCTCGACAATGCAGAAACAACATGCACATGTATAGCAAAAAGTAAAGAAGGTGTGATGCACTGACCTTCCACACGTCAGTCCTCTGAGTTTTGAGTCTCGCTCTCAACTAACAGGAGAGAGCATTTTTCCGCAATTCTACCAAAATGATACTGAGCGCTGGGGCTAAACGACGATTCTTATCCTGTCTGCATAGTCGATGTCGAAATTTTCCCCGGTCCTCAATTTCTCCCAGTCCCACATTTCGTCGGTCGGCACGTAGAATCTTTTCCGCGGACTCGTCTCCGCTCCAGAGTCGTAGTGAATAGTCCACCGATACGGTCATAAATGACGATTCTGCGGAATACGCAGAATCTTCAGAAGAAGAGTAGCTGCTTACTGAATTGAAAACTCCGCAGATCCCGTAGTACAAAACCACGGGGAGAGAACGGATTAGCATTCTGTTTCCATCAAGCCTCTTCGGCAATTCAGCTGATTCCTCCGTTTCCGCGGAATCTGCTGATTCTTGAAATCGACAGTAATCAGGGCACGTCCTACTTTGGAAATCCGCGACGGTGGTGTCGCAATTGGTCGCTGTTTGGGAGGGGTGAGGAAGTCTACTTATTGAAAAAATTTTTCTGATAGCTGATATCTCCTGTTTCACAGCGCTTTTCACATCGCTGATAAAGTTTTAATGGGAGAGGGAGGTGTTTGCTTTTCGTTGGGAGAGGGAAGGGGGTCGTATCTGCCTTCGAGGGGAAATTTAGTCGCGTTGCGAGCGATTTTTTCCGGTCGTTGAACTTTTTCGCCGCGTCTTTCCCATTTCAATGGTGCCCCCTCCCTCCCAGCTACCCAGCAGCAGGACGTGCCCTGACACGAATACACTGTTCCCTGTTCTGCAGATTCAGTGGGATCCTTGGAATATTTGTCAACCGAGGAGCCTTCCTCTCCATCCTTTTCCCTTCCTTCTTTTCTCTCTTCCCTCTACCTTATTTGCCTCCCTTCAAATAGTCGCCCGGAAATGCGATGAGGAAATACTACCTGGTCAGCGAGGGAGACGTGAACGAACGATGGCCAAAGAAAAGGCTAATGCCGTTTGGACTCCAGCAACTTCGGCACCGAGCTCATTTTTAAATTACCTAAGTCGCCAAACCCGCTGAAAATATGTACACAAGGGTTATTTACCCATCACTTTGCATTACATTATGACACTCATTCTTGGCGCTGGCGCCAAGGGATGACACTACGATTACCTCTTGGGCTCAGCCTTAGCGGAGCGCAGGTAATCGTAGTGTCATCCATTAGCGCCAGCGGCAAGAGTGAATGTCATATTCGTAATCAGGATGTTAAACTACCCCTACATACAAGTTTTTAGCGGATTTGGTAACTTAGGCAATTTAAAAATGAGCTCGGTGCCGAAGTTGCTGGAGTCCAAACGGCAAAGCTACGCAGCCGTAGGAATGAAATGCTGCGACGCAATTTTACACACTTTTGCGCCACTTTGCGTACGGTACCCCACAGCTCACGCCTAATTTTAATGATGTGCGGAGGCTTTTTCTTTTCCTGTACCTCCATTTGCTCTGTTTTCGCCTTTTTCACTCGCACCATGTTGTAATATGCCATATTGACTGTGCATGCATACAAAATTGCGTATGCCCTAATCAATTTTCGTAACGAATGAATGAACACAAGCCACAGGATATGATTTATGATATAGAATAGGATATGATTTAAGTATACAAAGTAATCATAGCACAACGAGGAATGAATAAGGCGAACAGAGGAAATGGAAACGGGAAAATGTAGGGTTGTTTACTAAAGTAAGGTACTGATATGAGCGACTCATAAGGGAAGCTCTCAGGTCGAGGAAGCCATTCGACGTGACAACTACACCATCAGATATATTTTACAGCGGTGATCAGTACTACCCTACTGAAGACTGAGCGAGTCAAAGTCACATCACAGAAATATTCCTTGCCTAATGATTGCCATTTTCGTGTTCAACGGCTCAAACTACTTCTGAAAGCATACTTCCAGTCAATTCTGAATTTCGTCCAGGTTTTCGAAAAATTGGATGTTTATGAGTTGGTGTGGGGCTGGGTGGTGGACTCAAGGATTTCCTAGCAATGAGACTCAATCTTTGGACAGAATCAGCTTTTCTGCCGCGTTTCCGACTTCGTTTTCGCAGGACCATGTTGCACACGCACCCATTAAGCAACAGTTGCGGTTTCTCTGGGGCCGATGCTATCGTCACCTTCAAGGGATAGTAGTGATATTTGCCATAGACGCTGTATGCTACTCT